GTAAATGACACAATGGCGGACTGATGACAGCTCACTCAGGGTGGGTCTAAGGTAAGACACCAGTCCAGTCTGTGCTGAAACACTACTGTCAATCAACTATCGTGGGAGGGGCCTGTACAGAACTACGTCATTCTGACAGGAATCTCAGAACAGCCTGGTTTGAGAAAGGGGATATTAAAATAGGGATTTAAAAAAAATCACTGGATGGATTTTTATAATTATAGGATGGATGTGTGCACACACTTCCAACATACATTTATGTTCAAACAACTTGAAAAGTGAATTTTGCATCCGATGACCCCTTTAAAGAAATAACTTGAAGGTAGGTAGGTGTGTGTGTGAATTAGTAACAACATGAAGAGAGAGCGAGAAAACTAAATCAATTGCAATCATTTACTTTTATGACTGTACAGTAGGGTTAAATGATTAATTGCATTTGCGATAATATCGCGATATGAAAAAACGCGATTTTTCTATCGCAGAGGCTGTGATTACACTCAGTCACGTGACACGCAAGAGTAAAGAGGTGTGTTCGACTTGAAGATCGATCGGTGGATTTCATCGTAACATATAGGCCTGGCCTACAGACATTTGTTAAATCTATCTAATATTGTGTTGGTCATACTCATACTATACAATGATTTATAGCTTGTCTTTGTTGATTAATAAAGAACATAAATAGCTTTAAAAAATAATTGCATATTAAATCGCAATATTGGTAAAAAAAAAAATCGCAATTAGATTTTCCAAAATCGTTCAGCCCTAAATGCCACTTGTTTTATTGTTTTAGACATATTTATAAGATGCAAGGGCTGTGGAAGATTATTTGACTCAGAATTACACAAGCAATTATATATAACACCACAGGGATAATTAATGCTAATGATGATTGCATACTACTTTCATTCACTCAACTTGACTGGCAGTTCTAATATTGTTTGTAATTTATTTATAACAAGAGTTCTCCAAGATTATTGATGAAGCTGTCTATGGTGTGAGTACAGTTCCTATTCCTCTCAGATCATGCTCTACCACGATTATTTCCATTGACATATTCAGACTAGGGGTTGTATACATATTTAATATCCCCAACACACAGATGCTAAGGAGAAATGATTTTGTCCTTCAGCTGAATTTCTTTCATTCACTCACACAAGCTCACACTTGTCTGTTTTTCCCACAGTAGCAATGTGTTGCTGTTTTAAAAAAATCTATTAATATTTTATTCCCCCTTATAAACTCCTAACCTAAGGCTGAAGTCTTCTTGAAGTGTCTGGATGCCTGTGTGGAAACATAGGCTTGGGATTTTTGTAATGAACAATGAAGTCTTTGCTTCTTCCTTCCATATGTCATTAGCTTAAAAATTCTTTACACAGTAGCCGCATTTTAAAATTTCATTGCATGGAGCCTTCAACTCGACAAAACATGGCAATAAAACTCACACATGGCCGCGAGATCTTTAAATTGCGTCAAAGGTGTGATTTGACCACCAAAAGGGTAACAATGGGGTGAGACGTCAAGATGAACAGAGCCTCATCACAGAATATATCCTTTCAATAATGAGGGAGGGTGCCAAATGCTCAATCTGTGGAGTTGCTAGGCAACTGCATCAGCATCACTCCAGCAGCCTCGTTTCAAGAAACGCATTGGAACCATGCTTTTGCATGGCTTCGCCTGACTCATGTATGTGATTTGCAGCACATTGATTGAAGAATGCCCCATTGCCTGCCTCTCATGGCAAAGTCACCCACAGGCTGAATCGCTCCGTAAAGGAAGTAATGATTCACAGGCATCACCAGTTCAGCACAGTTGGCAGCATTAGTGTGATTATTGTTGTGGATTCAAAGTCTTCATTCGCAATGTATCACTTCAAGGTGACAGATGAACATGTTTCACGATTCTGTTGCCCTTTGCCTGTAGTATGTAACGCTATCAGTTATTAGCAGCTCAGCGTTTAGAAGCAGTGCAGTGTCTTGCTGTGTGATCATTCGTTAGTAATCAGTAAGCAGAGGTGGAAAGTAACAAACTACATTTACTCTCGTTACTGTAATTGAGTAGTTTTTTTTGTGTACTTCTACTTTTTAAAGTAATTTTTTTAAATCTGTAATTTTACTTTTACTCAAGTATATTTTGTTTTAAGTATTGTACTTCGCTACATTTTAAAACACATTAATAAAAACAAAATCGCTCCCTGGAAAAGACTGTAGTAAATAATGGGCAGGAGAGCAAACTGGCGCTAAAATCACAAGAACGATGCAGACGGACAAGACTAGGCGTTATGGCGCAGACCCAGCTGAAAACAAAACCCCGTCGTATTCTGCTGAAGTTGAACTCAAAGGAAATGAAGTGAACCCCTGGCCATATTTAAGCTCTATCATGCAGTGTAAGCTGTGTTTGCCTTAGGGAGACCAAACTAGCAGCTTATAAAATCTCGACATCAACCCTTCGCAAGCATGCATAGGTAAGGTAAATACTTGCATCGTTGCATTGGTGGTTAAAATGAAGCTTTGACAGTTTAGCAAAAGGTTTTGCACAAATTAGCCAAAAAAACTGGTGCAGGGTGTGCGATATACAGTATATCGTCTGCGATAATATTGTAATTGTTGTTTTAACAATGTGCGATTTGACATTATCAGTATTTTGCCAAAAACCCAAGAAAACACTCCTACAGAGTGCCTTGAAGTCTAGTAGATTAGACTAGTGCACGTGCATTTAGAGTGCATTCTTTCACTTGCGTGATTCAGTCTGTTAAAATGCATTTAGAATGATCACAAAATTGAAGATATAGGGGCAGAAAATGTATATATTCAATATAATCAATATTAAACAAAGAATGCCGATTACATATAGATTTCTTTACAACAGTTCAATAAACAAGAAGTTAATTAAGAGACTTGTGTTTTAGACATCATGTCCCCTGTTTTTGCTCTATTTCCACAACAAAAATAATTCGAAACACAGCCACCAAAGTACAGTTTTGTGTCTCTGAGCAACATGAAGGTGTTTTGTTCCTGAATGAATCAACCGTTTAAATGATTGCAATGACTCACTTATTAACAGTGACTTGCTGACACCTACTGGCGGTTTTAATTTCACATGTAAAGTATCTTGATTTTTTTTTTTTTTATATATATATATATATATAATTTCAAATTAGTATTCAACATTTTATGTCTTGTATATCAAAACATTATTTCTTCATTTGTAACTGCAGGTTAAATGCATTCATGTCCTGCATTATACAGTGTGTAATCTAAATGCCACTACAGATGAAGCTTCTGTGTTTCCTCTGCATTGCAAAGATGAATTGTGTTGATAATGATTTAATTTGCCTGGTAACAGCCCAAATGTCTTATTATTTTAAATAACTGATTCCTTTAATTAAAAACAACTAGTTTGAAAATTATAGGCCTATCCCATTTTTGCCTCCCTCCCACTGTTAAAATGTAACTAATTTTTACTCTGAGTAAATTTAAAATGAGCTACTTTTTACTTTTACTTTTACTTGAGTAGATTTTTAGACTGGTACTTTTACTTGTATTTAAGTAAAATGTCATTAATGTAATGGTACTTTTACTCGAGTAGAATATTTTCGTACTCTTTCCACCTCTGTCAGTAGGACATGATCAAACTGTGAGCTGCTCACTAAAGTTGCTGCTGACGGCAGCAGAGCACACGAATAAAAGAGAATCTGTGCTCATTAATTTAGATTTACAGGCCTAGCAGAATATACATTTATATACTTATAAATATGGCAGTGCAAAGCTACCACTCTTCTTACCAGGATTTAGCACCAACCTTTTCATCTCATTTGAAGTTTTTTTCGGTCCAGTTTTCCTGTGTATTATGATTAGCCTGATATCAATAATAATACTTTGTTGCTTGATAATTACGTAAAGATTGGTGTTTTGACTCATTTTGGAACCATTTTTGTTGGCAGAGAAAAAAAAATGCATGAAATATAAAAATATAAATAAAAAAATGTTGTAATATATTATATTTATTTAAATGCAAGGGTGCACTTATTTGATCAAAATCTCAGTAAAAAATTAATATTGTGAAATATTATTACAATTTAAAATATCTGTTGTCTGTTTTAATATATTTTAAAATGTCATTTATTCCTGTGATGGCAAAGCTGAATTTGTCGAATGTCGAAAACATTTGTGCAACTTTGTTTTTGTGGAAACCATTTTTTTCTGATCCATTAGATCAGAGTAATGTCTTGAACATCCGTTGCTTGAATGTTGAAGAAATTTCACATTTCACATGATCAAATTAATGCATCCTTGCTGAATAAAAATATGAATTTCTTAAAATAAAAATCTTCTAATGACCCTAAACTTTTAAACGCCAGTGTATACAGTGGGTACGGAAAGTATTCAGACCCCCTTAAATTGTTCACTCTTTGTTATATTGCAGCCATTTGCTAAAATCATTTAAGTTAATTTTTTTCCTTATTAATGTACACACAGCACCCCATATTGACAGAAAAACACAGAATTGTTGACATTTTTGCAGATTTATTAAAAAAGAAAAACTGAAATATCACATGGTCCTAAGTATTCAGACCCTATCAATTATATATTTATACTTATTTACTGTGTATAACGTTTTAAACAGACGGTCTTATGCAGACTGCTTAGACCGCTTTGATTCATCGATTTATTATACACAGCATTTAAATGTAATTTTATACTTTTAAATTAGTAGTCTGTTTATCCATGAACTGTTGATTTTGGTTGGTTCGCTTCGTCAGTCTTAGAGTGGCCAAAAATAATTGCAATGTGTTGCAGTGCTTGATTCATTCATTAATTTCATGCATTTTTGTATAATTTAATTAAAAAGGTTTTGATTTAAAAATCTGCTTGTCTAATTACATCTTTATTAAAACTGAAATTAATACTACTTCACTTTTTTGTAGACTACTACATCTTGCCGTTAGAAGAGCTCATTGATGATGCTGTCCTTTTAAAGTCTGCCCTTCTTTTTTGTTCTAGCAGCTTTCTGAACTTCTCCCGGCTCAGTAGTGCTGGAGCCTCAGACGTATTTCATCCTCTTCCTCATTGATTGTGACTCTGAACTTCTCTCTCCCTCTGCTGAGGGAGCACCTACCGTCTGCACTTCTGCTGTCCAGTACACCAAAGCAGGTGACTTCAGCACACACACTGAAAGACAGTCCTTTTATACTCACAGGTGCTCTGGACCTTTTTCGTTCACCTGAGAGATCATATTCCTGCAGGCCAAGCAGTAAACGCTATAGCACTGTCTACTTCTGACATTCAAATGTCCTTTTTCCAATAAGACTACACTTGTGTCTGAGGAACCAGCCTATTTGAAGGCCTCGCATGTCACAATTCTGATAAGTAATGTCCAAATAACAGGAAATTACAAAGACAAAAGAAATAAGGCCACAGTTGCTAGATATAAAGTCGCAGTGGCTTGTGCCTACATGTCAGGGCGTTCAGATCCAAGTTCTCTCATAGAAGCTTGTCCCAGTTTGACTGGAAATGTGCAACTTAGGAGCTTGTCAAGACTGATTTTGTCTCATGTGATGTCTTTTGAGAACAAAATATAATTGGTTCCCTTGAGAAATCCGCTGCCTCACTAGGGGTTCACTGGTATGTCAGGACAGCCTGGTGCCCTTAAAGATTGTACATAGTAAAGATCTTGTCTCATTAGAATAAGTAGAAGAATAAGAAGTCCATTCCCAAAGCACAGGAGTGTGTGTGTGAACATGTAGTGACAAATCAGATCTGATCTTGCTCCCACAACTCCTCTTCTCCTCTGTAGACTTTTGGAATGGCTGCTAAACCTCATCCACCTCTGATGAAGAAGCACAGTCAGACCGATCTGGTGAGTCGTCTCAAGACACGCAAGATCCTGGGCGTCGGTGGAGAGGATGATGATGGAGAAGTGCATAGGTCGAAGGTCAGTCTTTGTATCTTGCGTTATTATGTCCTTATTAATTTCGTCTCCCAAGTTCCATGTGACTTGCATACCAACTTACACACGCATGTTAATGTTTTGCATTCAGTTCTTGCAGAGAAATGGATGTTCATATTGTCAGTGTGTGATATGAACTGTACAAAAACACACGATGCAGTCTTTTGTTCATCTGATGCGCTTCCTTGGTTGTTGCACTTTGATGCAGGCTCATTTAGACATTTAGCCTTTTTAAAATTTTTGTGTTCTTTTTATATCTGGCCTGATTTTATTTTGGGTTCATTTTACCTGTTACTTTTTGAGTAGTATGTTGCCATTAGTCGAGTTTTACAAAATTCCTGTCCAAAAGTCCAAAATAATAATAATAATTCATTACATTTATATAGCGCTTTTCTAGGCAGTCAAAGCGCTTTACATTGTCAGGGGGTATCTCCTCATCCACCACCAGTATGCAGCATCCACCTGGATGATGCGACGGCAGCCATAGTGCGCCAGAACGCCCACCACACACCAGCTTATTGGTGGAGAGGAGACAGAGTGATGAAGCCAATCAGTAGATATGGGGATTGTTAGGAGGCCGTGATGATCAGAGGCCAATGGGCAAATTTGGCCAGGATGCCGAGGTCACACCTCTACTCTTTTCGAAAGACATCCTGGGATTTTTAGTGACCACAGAGAGTCAGGACCTCGGTTTAACGTCTCATCCGAAGGACGGTGCTTGTTGACAGTATAGTGTCCCCGTCACTATACTGGGGCGTTAGGACCCACACAGACCACAGGGTGAGCACCCCCCTGCTGGCCTCACTAACACCTCTTTCAAAATGATCACTTGCCAAATGGCCTTGTTGAATAAATAAAATGTTACTTGCCAGTAGATGGTAAGATTATAATACATGGCTGTGTCAGATTGTAATAACAACCTGACTGTTGCTGATGTAAGTGATATGCAACATTTAAAGCAGACAGCAAGACAAACTCTCCACTAAAGATTTTGTGACCTGTCATTTTTGAAACGCATATCAGATATATATACAAGGTGTGTACAAGGGCTGTCCGGAAACTATCCAGCCATGTCTCTATTTTTCATATTACATTTATTGAAGAAGATACAAGAAACATTGTATATAGAAACAATGATGTCTCAGTCCCCTTTAGTGGTGATTTTAGTTTTGTGAAAAGCCAGAAGTCACAGGGTGCCAAATCTGGGCTGTAGGGGGGCTGAGTCACCTGGGTGATTTGATGTTTCTCCAAAAAACTCTGCATGAGACGTGATGCATGGGTGGACACATTGTCATTATGAGGCTGCCAATCAACAGTTACCCATAGCTGCAGCCATTTTTGCCGTATTGCATCTCTCATCTCGTATTTTTCATAGTACATGGCTGGATACTTTCCAGATAGCCATATATATATATATATATATATATATATATATATAGTGGCGAGAGAGGGGGGACTTTTTTAAACTGGGTGTGGTGAGAGCTAAGAGCTCCCCCCACTATATATATACACCAGTGGCGAGCGGTGACTTTTTTAACCGGGTATGCTGAGTGCTGAGTGAGACCCCCTCCCCCCCCGGCTTTTAGGGCACTCAAAAGGGATCACAGATGACAAATGAGAAACACCATGGTAGGTGTCGATTTAAATGTATGCACATTTCCTACTTTATTTGTAAATGAAATTCATCTCCAATCCTTCTTCTATTGTTTCAGGTTTATCCATTGTTATTCGAATGCAAGAAAAATATAGCTGGTTTTCCAAGTAAAAACCGCCAAATAGTACAGAGTCTAGCGACACACAGCGACAAAGTCGCTGGCAGTGTGAACGGGGCTCGAGGCGATCGGATAAATGGTCCATGTAAGCCATTCATGTGAACGGGGCTTTAGAGAGAGTTGTCAGTGATGCAATAAATATGATCTAATTTAACAATGTCTAACCCCCAAAACAGAGAAAACATCTTTCATAAACGTCCAGGGACGTGGGAAGTAGGGGTGCTGAGGGGGCTGCAGCACCCCCTGTTTTCACATGGTTGCAAATGCAACGCCAAGTTTGTTCATTGAAATATATTCAGTTCTAGCATTTAATAATTTATTTGTAATGATCTCTGAAATGTAAATTGTAAGTGGGCTATAATAAACCCATGTTTATCTTTATAAACATGATTAAATTTTACTTGTGATGTTTTCTATATGGGATTATTAGCCTAATCCTCATGAACACATGATGCTAGCGCCCCCCCAACACGGACACGCACAGCACCCCCAACCGAAAGCATCTTCCCGCGCCCCTGCAAACGTCTACATGTCTGTCTCTTTTAATGTTTGTGTAGTACATATAATGAGTTGTATTTGTAGGTGTTATTATTATAGCACAACACCCCATTTTCAAACCCTGATTACATAATGTGTAAGCATGTTAATTTTGATACTTAATCCGTAACCTGTAATGGTTTTTGGTTTGCAAGGACTCATACAATCAGACATTCTTGTCACAAAATTTGTTATTGCTGTTTATATGTCAGTAAATCAAGCCAGTCACTAAACCGTCAACTTCACACTATATATGCAATTATATACAGAAAGTGATCAAATAATGGCCCCTTTTTAATCACTGGAGCTGTTAATCACTTCAAATTCAGCATGATTGACTTGAGTTCTGCATGCCGAAACGCCCGTTAAATTAAATGACGCTGTCTACACTGCTCAATGAGATGCATTTTGTCTACACTGTTTATTATGAAATCATTAATGTTGCAACGGCATGATTATTGCAACACAAATTATACTGTGATCGGCTACAATGCTCAGAGTTGCAAACTTTTATGCAATGAGAGTAGGTCCAAGTATGATCCTGTATCAAAAAATTTCATTAGTTAATCTTGGCAGCTGTAATGGGTCCACATGTAATACTTATTTCATATGCAAAGATGTTACCCAATCACTGCAGTGAGCGTTTACATTGAAGTCCTAAAAACTATGCACCAATTTAAAAAAATTGACTAATTGACTAAAATCAGGGTATAAAATATCGTATTTTGTTTCTAAATTATGGCCGTTTTTGATGTAAAAATACTACTAACGTGTAAGTGCACCTCAAGAAACATTGCAATATAAAAATGCAGCTCTTGAAATTTTTTTTTTTACATATTACACAAAATGTCATATGTATTGTCTTTTATTATCTGATTACTGCCATTACTATAAAGCAAGTAAAACTTGTGTTCTGATTTAATTTGTTCTTGTTTTGCTTGGTACTTTTACTTTTTACTTGCTTTATAGTAATGGCAGTAATCAGATAATAAAAGACACAATACATATGACATTTTTACAGAAATATTATTTTATAAAAATGCTGGTCATCCTGATTTTCAAATGTTCTAGTTATATTCTAATTTTTAGTTGCAGTTGTCGAAATGTATTCATTTTAAACTCTGTTCTTGCCAAGTCAGAGAAATACTACTTAAAGGGGGCATATGATGCGATTTCAAGTTTTCCTTTCTCTTTGGAGTGTTACAAGCTGTTCGTGAATAGATAAGACCCCTAAAGTTGCAAAGACTAAAGTCTCAAACCCAAAGAGATATTCTATTTAAAAGTTAAGACTATTCACAAACAGCTTGTTTAAAGAACAGAGTTTAAAATGAATACATTTCGACAACTGCAACTATAACTAGAAAATTTTAAAATCAGGATGACCAGCATTTTTATAAAATAATATTTCTGTAAAAATGTCATATGTATTGTGTCTTTTATTATCTGATTACTGCCATTACTATAAAGCAAGTAAAAATTGTGTTCTGATTTCATTTGTTCTTGTTTTGCTTGGTACTTTTACACAAAGAGCTGCACTACAGAAATGCACTCTATGATGCTTGTACCCATATCTGAGGCTGATTGTCTTTTTTGGTGAGCTAGAAAATTGTTGATCTGTTTTGCGAGAGAGAACGATGGATCCATTCACAACTAAAAATAAATGAAGGAAGCACTCCATTTTACTTTTTTAGTTGTTCTCAAGCTGCACACCCACAGGAAAGCGAGCATGACATTTTGAAACAGCTGTTGTTTTCTCCATGAGCAGGAGGGTTGAGTTTCCTGTATACAGACTAAAGGGTCTTGGTTTGTGTGGAGACATTAGGGTTACTCAGAGCTGTGGTAAGGGCCCCGTCCTGCGCTTCCCTTTTCAGCACCTCTGATTCAGCTCTGTGGTTATTTCACTGATATAGGGGCTTTTGTAAGATGTAACAAGACCATTTATATGTATTTTGGGTAAAAACACTGTGGCTATTCAGTATAATTTGTAATAATCATCTAACAAGCTCCCGTTTGCAGAGATTGCAATGGAAGATCATCTGATTTGCACAGTTTTAGATGGGTCCAGTGTTGAAGAAGGGACTTTTTTGCTTAAATTAAACTCCAGTCAAGCTAACCTTTTGAAAAATTTAGAAAACTACATTGAAGCTGGAATGTATTTTTGAATATAGCAGGTTGGCGGTATAATTTAAAGGGGTCATATGACGTTGCTAAAAAATAACATTATTTTGTGTATTTGGTGTAATGAAATGTGTTTATGCGGTTTAAGGTTAAAAAAACACATTGTTTTCCACATACTGTACATTATTGTTTCTCCTCTATGCCCCGCCTTTCTGAAACGTGTCGATTTTTACAAAGCTCATCGATCTGAAAAGCGAGGTGTGCTCTGATTGGCCAGCTATCCAGTGCGTTGTGATTGGCCGAATTCCTTAAGCGTGTGACGGAAATGTTACGCCCCTTACCATACTGTGATGCCGTGTCCCGGAGTGACGAGACAAAAACATTAAAACCCATTATAAACGAGGCATTTGTTGCATCCAGTGGGGACATAATTACGGATTATAATGACTTATACTGTCTTTTTACGCGTTGCGTTGCATCGCGCCGTGTAAACATAAAACCATGTCTGCATTTGTGATCAGAGAAATGACAAACAACAAGCGCTACTCTACACTGCTC